GGGCACCGGAGGAGCCCGCCGGCCGTCGCGCCGGCACTCGGCCTCGGGGCTGCCCCGCAGCATGTAACCGGGGCGGCACTGGAAGGTGACGGTGTCCCCAGGATTGTACGTGGCTCTGTGCCCACCAGCCACCGCTCCGTTCCGGATTGCTGGGGATGTGCAGGCAATCACTGAAAAGGAAAGCGAGCAAAGCGTGGGCTGGGGAAGCGGCTGCCAGGCTTGGGCTTTCCTCCTTGTTTTTTCCAAGGCCAGAATTCCCCAGAAACGCAGCAAGGAGAGACCTTTGGTTTGCCCCTGCCTTCAGGGAAAGGTGTGCAAGGAGGAGAAGGCAGAGCAGCTTGAGTAAACCTTGAAAGCCCCTCCCGTGCGTTCCCCCCTGCCTGTGCCTGATCAACGCTGCTCCAGCCCCCGCTGGGGTCTTCTCTGTGCTGATGGGTTCCTCTACTGCGATGACCGTCGTGGTCTCCCTTTTTGTGTTAGGTAACAACACTGAAAGCAAGCGCACCTTCACATCGAGGGTAAGGGATGCTCCAGGTTCCCTTCTCTGTGCAATACAGAGTGGCTTTGCCAATAAGAGAATAACCAGGCTCACAGCTGTAATTCACAGACTTTCCAGGGTTGAAGACTTTCTCATCCTTGCCATCGTGCTGGCCATTGTCGATAGCCAACGGGGAGGGACACAGCAGCCCTGCAATGAAGGAAATCTTCCATGAGAAAGGGGTGGGCGTTTGGTACTTCTTTCTTCCACTAACCCCCCGTATCACTGGCACATCCACAAGTGGAAAAGGCAGAAAGGCAGATAAACACACCTTCACACCAAGGGGCAGCGGCACTCCAAGCTCCAGAAGATGTACAATTAAGCTGTGCCTCTCCAATGAGACTATAGCCAGGATCACAGGTGTATCTCACAGACACGCCGCTGGTGAAAACTGCCGTGGCTTGGCCGCTGTGCTTTCCATGGGCAATGGCTGGAGGCGGAGAGCACTGCGATGCTGGGGGAAGAGGACAAAACCATTCTCACACCAGGGGCAATAAGAAAGAAAGAGGATCGAAAAATAAATGGCTTGGTGCAAGGGAACCTTTTATCTGAGCTGAGAGCCCTCAAGAAATACAGGCAGCTCAGACGGGTGTCCCTGGGGCTGCTGCTTGCACCCACAGTCCATCGGGACCCTGCAGAGCTCAGGGCTTAGGAGCAAGTGCTTCTGGGCCCTCCTTTCTCGGGAGTGCCAAAGAGCACCTCCACCAGCAATGGCATGGACACTAACACTGCTGGTCCCCGTCCTCCCCCTTCCCTCCGCTTTGCTGTCAGCAACTCCTCTGCAGCACGATCCTGCCCATGCACGCGCTAGTCCGTGGCCTCACAGGCACAGAGCGGCCCTGCACTCAGCAAAGTCCTACCTCCGCACCGCGGCGGCGGCCCACTCCACACGCCGTGTACCCCGTCCTCTGTGGTGCAGAAAATAGAGGGCTCTCCCGTGAGGGGGTGGTCGAGGTTGCACGTGTACGTGACCACAGCCGCGTAGGAGAAGTCGTCCATCAGGTGGCCAGTGTGTCTCCCATGAGGGATGTCCGGAGGCGGGTCACACACGATTGCTGCGGGGCACATACAAGGTGGCTGTTAGAGTGAGCGCTAGCAGCAGTGCCCTGGGGTCTGCCGGACAAAAGTGCTTCCCCGAGAGGGAGCCAGCTGCGACAACCCCATCTCAGCAGCAACGCTCTGCGTCTTTCTCCTAGAAGATGCTTTTCATTGAAAGCACTGACCCGAATCTCTGTGCTGCTCAGTTATTCCCCAGTAGCCCTGCCGAGCTCCTGCCAGGATGTACTTACGCTGGCAGACAGGAATGTCACCGCTCCACACAACTTGCTTTCCGGACCCAGAAATGACGCAGTGCCTCTGAGCGTGCCCAGTCAGCCTGTGCCTGGAGTTAAGCAAAGTCACAGTTACCGTGCAGGGGCTGTCCTTGGAGCGCTCTTCTCCCATGCCCTGCAAGCCTCGCCTTCGTTGCCGTCTAATACTGCCGTTGTTAAGGCTCAGATGCTTAGCTCACGTGTGTCCCCCCAACAGTCTCCTCAGTCTGCACGGGCAGTAAACCGTGTGAGGCCCAGAGAGCTGCCATTGCCTCTCCTCGTCCTTCCATCCTCTGCAAGAGGCCACCTCACTGATGCCTGTTTTAAGCTCAGTCTTTCAGAACGATCCCCGTCTTTGTCCCTCATATACTCCTAAGATCAGACTCAACCGGTCGTTCCCTCTAATCGGTGCTGAAAAACTTATACCTGAACCCCTTTCTCCGCATTTCTGTTGTCAGTTAGCCTACAAATCAGACTAGAATTCGACCGTTGCGAAGACCAGAACTGCTGTAAAGTCCAAACTGTCTTAAAATGCCAGAAAGATTCTGAGATTTTCCCTGGACATTTGGACACTTTCTGTGCTCTCTCAGTAGCTACAGCTGAGAGCTCAGTGGGTCAAACTGCAAGGTGATGGGCACAAAACAAGTTACACGTAAACCAAACACAAAGGCAGATTCCTCCTCAAGCCTCACACTGAGCAGGTGACTTTGATGGACTTTGAGTGTGGGGACACAAGCACTGGTTTCTTGTTAAAAACCACACTGTACCTAAGAGTTAGAGAGAGGACAGAGACATTGCTGCTTGCGTCTCGTAAGCCAAATGAGCTTGACCTGGGACTCACCCTTCATCACACGTGTAATTCACTGTTGACCCAAAGAGGAGATCTGTCAGAACAACAACTCTGCCATTTTCAGGTTCTCCTGGATGATCACACCTTTTCCCTGGGACAAAACGAGAGCTGGCTGTGAACTTCTTTCAGTGAATGCAACAGGAAAAGCAGCACTTTAATCCTAGGAGTCCTGCCAACCCCCCCCTGCCAAGAAGGGAACTGGAATGGAGGAACATCCACTGAGTTACAAGGCTTTGATGGTCACACTGCAATTGAAAAAAAATGGAAGCATCTGCAAGACATACGTTTGCAAAACTCCTGGGCGTCAGACCACGTTTGATTTTCGAGACATGTAATTGCCGGTGATATGTGTGGAAGTTTAATGTATCCTGGTCGGCAAGTGTATTTCACAGTCTTCCCAACAGGAAACTCCATCTGATTTTTGTGTTCCTTGTTTAACTCAGCAAACAATAATGTTGTTGGTGTACCACATCCAGCTACCAAGAAATAAAATACACATGAGAAATGAGTGCTAGTTATGAAAGGCAAATGAAGAGAAGCCAGTGCGTTGGTAGGCACTGCTAGAAAAGCCAAGGACATTAATATCTCTTCTAGACATTCTAACTTTTATCTACGTACATTAAACACTTCAAATGCCAGGACAGTTTAGCACTAAAGCCACTAAAGGGAACACAGCACTTTGCTTGTTCCTGTGGGTACCACGTGGACTTGCTGTTACCTGTCCCCCCCACCCCCACCCCAACACCCACCCACCCACAAATTCTGTGGGTTTAGCAGATTTGCCTGCTTCAGCATCAGGTGTGCATGGGATAGACGCTCAGACAGCCAGGGGTGCGCGGGGGAAAGGCAGCAGCACGCTGAAACGCACCTGCACAGCGAGGGTAAGGGAGGCTCCAGTTCCCCACCGCCGTGCATGAAAGCGAAGCATTGCCGATGAGGGAGAAGCCCGGGTCACAGCTGTAGGTGACGGACATGCCACTCGTGAAGTTCTCCCCGAGCTCAGCGCTGGGCGTGGCGTTGGCGATGACCGGAGGTGGAGGACAAGGCAATGCTAAGAGAGGGGAGGAGGGAAGAACATTGCTTTAGGGTTTGCATCCGATGGAGGAGCACATGCAACACAACCAAACGCGGTTGCTTCTCAGACAACGTTAATGAGGCAGAGATCGCTCCCTCAGGCCCCCTCCTGCACAAGGATGACCCTCAGTCTCTTCTGTTTTCACCCCCAAGGTGCCCCTCTTCCCCCCCCTCC